TTTTCTCCACACTGATATGAAAGTGATTTTTCTTCAGCACAGATCTAACCACATCACTCAATAAACTTCAGTGACTCCTTATTGCCTATAGGATCAAATATAAATACCTCTGTTTAGCTTTTAAAGCCCTTCACAACCTTTTGAACTGTGGAAGAACATTCCTTACTCTTTGTTTTAGGATAAGCCTGCCAGAAATTTTTTTTTAAATCGATTCAGATTATCCTAATTGGACGTTTCTGCTTAGAAAAAGGACCAAGGGGAAGACAGCATTACCTCATGGCTCTGAAAATCTCTTTTCTCACAGGGCATTTCTGAGTTAAAGTTTATGATGTTCTCAAACAATAGACAAAGACAATCAGTCAACCAATAACCACTGATGAAGCATCATGTATCTATGTACCAGGCATTCTGCTAAACTATGGGAATGATGCGGTTTAGGGGTTCAGGGGTGCTGGGACCCCAAAATCACAACACATGGGTCCTGCCCGAAAGAATTCGACCCAAGCCTTCTTTCAGCCAAAGACAAGGTTTATTAGAACATCCACCATATTGAGCAGACTCTTAAGGAGTCTGAACATGGGTAAGCAGTGGCTAGATTTTAAGAATCTGAGCATCTTAATGGAGACAAGATGGACCTTATATACAGAAAGACTGTGGGAGGGATCTAGGAGTGGCCAAATAGTTTGGGGTGACGGGAGGAAGGGCCTGAGGAGATCTGGATGGGAGGCTAGTAAGCTGGGGTGAACAGAACTCCTGGGACCTGGACCTCATGGGCAAGGGAGACCGGAGCCTAGCTAGGATTAAGGGTGGGAAATGACTGGGGGCCATAGGGAGGCAAGACAATGGAGGGGAGATTGGGTGTAGCCACAATGAAAGACCAATTGATGGGACTCTAGCCGCCAGAGATTTGGCCATGTGGGAAAGTCCAGGGTTTTTCCTTTCTGGGGCCCAGATTCCAACCCCATGAGGAATACAAGAAAGGCAAATGACAGTCCCTGTTCTCAAGAAGCTGACAATGGAATGAATCCTAAACATCCACCATAAAATAAAAACTTGGTTAAAGAGTCCAGGATAAAATTCTGGGAGCTTTCCCCCACCCAGCCGCATTCCTTGGGACTTCTTCATTATGCCCCTACTCTCTTTCCAGCTTCCCTTTTGTGAGTTGTATTCCCCCATTAGATTATAAACTCCTTGAGGGCAGGGACTGTCTTTTCCTTTGGGTATCCCCCGTGCTTAGCATATAGTGCCTAACACTTGGTAGGCAATTGGTGACATCGCTATGCTAGAGTCAAGTTTCAGTGTATCCAGCTGTGGCTGATCAGACCAATATGAGCTCGGAATGTTCTACCACAGGCTGAGCACAAATTAATAAATGTTTATTGACTGACTGAGTTAACAGTCACTTAACTTTCAGCACACCCGTGGGGAATCATTTGCTAAAAATCGTTCAAGTCCTCTTTGACCATTCCCTTCAGGGATTCTTCTTTCTAGCTAAACTCAAGAGATACTTCCATTAACTTCAGTAATCAAAGGTTTCTTCTTTCTCTTATCTGATCATTACTTAGGCAGCTAAGTGGCCCAGTGTATAAAGTGCTGGAGTCGGGAAGACCTGAGTTCAAATATGGCCTCTGAGACTTACTAGCTGTGTGATCCTGGGCAAGTCCCTTAACATCTGTCTGCTTCAGATTCCTCATTTGCCGAATGGGGAGTAATAGTAGCATCTACTTGAGGATCAAGTGAGATAATATCTTTAAAGTGCTTTACAAATCTTAAAATGCTATACAAATGCTAGCTATTATTATTACCTTAATCTAGTAAAAAAAATGGGGAAAGAGGGATCTCTGCTCTTAAACAAGTGGTCTCTTGCTCTTGTTTGGGTCACCATTCTAATTATTTCAGGAGGAGCCCTTTCTTAGATGGACGAAGAGAAAAGGACCTGGGGTAGGTGAGAAATTAATTAGAACTTTCTTGAGAATGATGGAGACTGATTTCATGTACAAGACATTTTTTTCAGAATCTATAGTAAAAGAAAGACTAACAAGGTTTTCCTTTCAGATGAGTACAAAGATTTCACATGAGCATATGTTTTAATGCTTTCTTAATATTTATAAAAGAGAAAGCAGGAGGCAAGGGGCTAGTATGCTTTTCGAGGCATCTTTCCAGCCTCATTTTGCATCACTCCTCCTCCTGCACTCTACAGTTTGGCCAGCCAGCACTTCTCTCTGCTCCGCACACATGATACTCCATTTTTCATCTCCACACTTTTGCACTGGTGAGCCTTCAGGGTGGAATGTACTCCCCTCTTATCTACAGCTCAGAGAATCCTTCTCTTCCTTTAAGACACAGTTCAAGCACCATCTACTACAGAAAGCCTTTCCTGATCACCAACTCCTAGTGCCCTTCTTCCCAAACTAATCTGTATTTATTGGTACTTACTCTGTACATACACATATATGTACTTGTATCTCTCCCCTTGGAATATAAACTCTTTGAGAAAGATTGTTTCATTCCTTGTATTTGCATCCCTAGCACCTAACACCTGCCTCTGTGCCTTGAACCTAGTTGGACCTTATAAAGTCATGCTGCTCACTTGCTTGGTTGATTGTGGAGCAGATTGGGAGATGGAAACTAAAAACAGGCATCAAAAAATTGAGATCGACTTGAACAGAAGGTGTTAATGGATTGCCCCAGGGATCTGTCCTTGGACCTGGACTATTTAACATTTTTATTAATGACTTGGATGAAGACATGGAAAGAATGCTTATCAAATTTTCAGGGGACGCCACAGCAAACCAGCAAGCCAATGTGGCCCAGTATTAGATAGACTAGAGGATTTAGTTATGTCACAATATGGGAAGTAAAAGCTGGAGAGGAGCTTACAAGACATCTACTCTAGTCCTACCTGAGCCAGAATCCCATATGTGACATCCCCAATAACTGATTATCCCACCTTAAACTTGGTTGGAAAAGAACCATGTTTACGATCTTTTTCATCTTTTCACTCTCTTCCCATATCGGCATAGCAGTGAACCTTAGGATTTGGAAATTATGCTATAAGAAATTTATCTTTAAAATGTGAGCTTACCTGAGTTCGTCATAATCATTTTTTCCATTATGTTTTGCCATCTTAGGAGATACCTACTAAGGACCCCCACCCATATCAGACCTCACTGAGCCAAGGGCCAGATTACTTTGTGTTTACCTGTCATGTCTCCAGTTGTCTCTCTCTCCGCTTGCAGGTTCCATTCCCTGGGACCCCTTAAGCTTGCATCATCTGTTGCAACCTCTTTGCCCTCAGCTTCTACCCTGTGCAGCCCTTTCTTTTATGCACTTAGAAGTGCATAAAAAGACTTGTTGAAATAGTCTACCATTTCCTCAAGAATCAGCTACTCCATGGACTCAAGCTGTCCTCAGGTCCACAAATAGATGTATTTCTGCTCTCAGTGAGTGGCCAAACCAATGTATGACACCAAAGTGTTTGCAAATATCAAGCAGACTGGTGCTCAGGAAATGCAATAGGACAAAAGGCTTTCCTGTTATCTGGCATGATCTCAATTTTGATAGGTTCTCCAGTTTGGTGATGTTGGCTTTAGGAGAATGGGATCCAGAAGCTGGTCATTTCCTCTATAGTCTACATCTCCTTCCTGACCTCTGGGAAAAACCTGGGGGAATAGAGAAATTTCAGCCCAAACCTACGAATTCCAACATGATTTATCTGCACACACAGCACTCCTAGGAACCCAAGGAAGTTCCACAGTTAAATTTGTGTTTTCACTAATCACTAGGATGGGCCCTTGGATTTGATGTGGCCTAGACATGTTTCTCTGAATATCCCAGATAATCTATAGTTTAAGTGGATATTCTCCAATTGCTCATGATCAGGCTTCTTGTCCTGTATCTAAACTGCAACTAGTCAAGCCTCCATGAAGTATGAAGAGATAAACACTTGGCAAAGGTTCATAACCCTTTATGTAAGTCCTTTACATTTTGGAATTCATCCATTTCCATGACCTTGACCTGACTCCAAGCTCGGTGGCTAATTAATTCGGTGTGACTTTCATCGAGTCACTTCATTTCTCTATGTCCCATAGTCTTAATACATAAAACTTATTGTATTAGATGATTTTTAAGGCCCTTCCAGCTTTCCCATTTGGGGATTGTATGTGGTTGAATCCATGAAAACCAAAAGTCCCCAGAGAGGGTGGTGATGATGAAGAGTTGTGAATCTTTGGGATATGCTTTAAAAAAGTCTGACAGTTAACAAATAAGCAATTCCTGGAGCAGACACCCTCCTTTGGGTTTTCTCTTGGAAGTCACGGTGAACAAAAATTGAGTAAAGGGAGCAGGGGTGGGGAACCTGCAGACTCAAGGCCACAAGTGATCCTCTGGGTCCTCAAGTTCGGCCCTTTGACTGAATCCAAACTTCACAGAACAAATTCCCTTAATAAAAGCATTTGTTCTATAAAACTTAGGCTCAGTCAAAAGGCTGAACCCAAGGACCTAGAAGGTCACAGGTGGCCTCGAGGCTGTGGGTTCCCCACCCCTGGTAGGGTGACAACTTTCTGGAATGGTCTTCTATGAAGCTGAGATGTTCTGGGTTTGCCCAACGAGTGCAGCACCGGCAGGAAGAACAACCACCTAGAGCACAATGCCAACACTTCTGCCAAAACAGCCAAAGCCAACTACATACCATGCCCGTCCAGCCCCGCTCCCAGTGGATTCCCAGAGCTTCCAGGCTAGCCCCAAGCACGCGCTGCTTCACGTGACGCGCCCTCTGATCCCCGCTTCCCCCTCCCACCCTGGAAGCCCCTGTGCTCTGTTCCCTTCGCGCTCCGAGGCCCGCGCTCCCGGCCGTTAAGGCGCTTCATTCCCATGGCAACCAGCGGGGCGGGGAGGATTCTGCCCTCTCCATGGCAACCGGGGACGCCTTCCTCTTCGCTGGGCCAGAGTGGTGCTGCGAGAATAGTTCAGACGCGGCGGAGGTGAGGACCCTCAGCGTCATGAGGGGAGCGGAGGCCGCGGTGATGGCAGCAGCGGCGGCCACCGCGATGCGAGACGAGGACGAAGACGAGGACGAGGACGAGGCGGCGGGGCGGGAGCAGCAGCCGCAGCCCCCCCAGCCGGCCGGGGTCGCGTGCGCGGTCTGTGGAGAGCTGAGCAGTGGGTGTAACCGGGACCGCGGTAAACCCTGTGAGTAGGGGCCCCACTGGCCCGACTGGGGCGAGGGAGGGGGTCCTCCCATCCCCCGAAACCCGAGGGCCGTGCTTCATCAGCTCTGGCGTATGGCCAGGACATCCCGGGATCACGGAATGTAGGGAGCTGGAAGGATCCCTGGAGAGCATCTCCACCGACCCCTTACTGGACATAAGAGGAAACTGAAGCAGCCTGATGCAGTGTAATGAAAGTACTGGGTTTGGAGTCCGAATACTTGGGAGGTGGGAACTAGATCAAGTGGCTTTCCTGCCTATTACAGGCTCAAAGGATCATAGATTTAGATCTGAAAGGTGCTGTGGGGAGGTCATCTAGTCTAAATCCCTCAAGTTACAGATGAGGAAACTGAGACGCAGGGGAGGTGAAGGGACTTGCCCAGGGTCACACAGCTAGTAAGTGGCAGAGCCAAAAATCTAACCCAGATTCTCTGGCTTCAAATCCAGTACTCTCTTACCTTGGACAAGGCAAATGTCACCTCTGAACCTCAGTTTCTTTATTTGTAAAATGAGGGGACTGAACTAGTAAATCTGCAAGGGTCTAATCCAGCTCTAATCCCATAAAGTATTTAACCTTTCCTCCCTTTCCCAGCATGAAAGGGAAGTGGTTTGCTCAAGATAACAGGAAGTGACAGAGCCAGGGCTTCCTGCTTGGGTCTAAATTACACCAAAATCGGACTCCGATTACCCCAATCCTGCAGATTTTGGGCATTTGTAACCTGGCCTTGTCAGAACCCTACCCTTTGTGTTAATATTGGATGTACTCTGATTTGATAAAGTGTTACGTTTCGGCCTTCACCCTATCCTAGCAAGGTTGTCCGCTGTCACAAACCAAGAGGTTTGCTTCCCACCTTGAAGGATTTGGCCCCAGTCCGATTTGGACCTACAAGAACATACTGTTTCTTGATCTTGCAGTTATTGTGCAGCACCTACTGCTCTATAGGCAATCAATGCATGCTTAGGAATGATAATGGTGAAGCGATAATCCAAAGAGGAACACAATAGGTTTCCAGGTTTTCTAAATACTCTGCTTGATTGCCCCTCTAGAGAATCTTTCTCCCTCTGCATTCAGCACTTCTGCAACCACTCTGCCTTGGTGGCAGACCACATACCCTCCTGAGACTTCATCAGAGAGGCAGAAAAATCACTGGATAATCATGAGAAGGCACATTGCTTTACTTCCTAGCCCTATTAGGCCTAATAATGGTCCTGCTATTAAACTACCTCATTAGATAGAGTTGGGTCCATCTAATTAGATACAAGTGAAAAATATTACACGTTTGTGTCACTTAAAAATTTCTTCAAATTGTTAAATATTTTTATTTGCTAAAATTGTCATACAATACCATAAGTCCTTAGAAGGAATATAAATGGTTAAATTTTTTAAACTATTTTTTAACAGTTAGCAGGGTCTAGTGGTAGGAACTCTTAGACTTAGAAACCAGAAGATCTGGCCTGCTGTCTATGACTTTGCAACCGACTAGATATATGATCTTGGAAAAAGTCACTGAACTTTTCTGTATTTATAAGGGGACTCCTACCTGCCTCTTAGGATAGTTCCTACAGTAAAATGAATTAATGTAATATAGACTTGTGAAGGTATTTCAGAAGAAATATTATTAATTCTAAGAACAATATTATTATTGAGATTATTTTCCATGGGAGTTGAAGCCAATTCATTTTCCATCAACTTTCTCCTTAAATTTTAAGATAAAAACTTTCTCCTTTCACATTTTTGTAGATGTTATGTGTATTCCATAAATCAGATCAGGTATTCAATTATGATAGTCTGTAAAAAATAGATGACATTTGATGAAAAATGGTTTTCAGCATATTTCTTCAAACGGACAGAAAAAGTAAATGTTCTTCTGAGCCTCTAAGACCGACAAAACTGAAATGAAAATGAAAGTATTTTCATGTTTAACTTCAATGTCTCTCTTATGACACAATGGACCAAAAGTTTCAATTTGTTTTGTATCCTCAGTACCTAAAACAGTGCCTTGCACATAGTAGCTGCTTAATGTAATACCTGTTGAATTAAATTGAATGCACTTGGTGTATAATTACAATTATTACATTGTAAGAGGTCTAGAAGAAACCTGCTTTGTAAGTGGTGATACTCACCTGCAAAAGCAGCCCTGAAATCCACCTACTTCTAGCTGTATTCTTTGCTCTTAGAATCACAGAACCTTAGAGTCAGAAGTTACTTCAGGTTAGAAGTCACCTACTTCACCCACCCACCCAGTGCCAGTATCTCTACCACTTGGAATCTTAAGACTAGAGTTGGAAGGGATTGCCAAAGGGACTTCAGATCTCATCTGCTCCATCTTCCAAGTCCTGTCAATATCACACACCAGTGACTGATCATCTAGTATTTTAGTCTCTTCTTGAAAATATCCATGGGATATTGGGAACATGCACCTTCTTAATCAAGCAGGCCATTCAATTTCCAGTCTGTAAAATGATGGGGAGAACCTCTAGAACTAGAAGAGATTTAAAGCTATGGTCCTAATAATTGTTAGGAATTGGTTTCCTTATAACAGGTCAAAATCTTCCTGTTTAATTTCTAACCAATGATTTTAATTTACCCCTCTGAGGCTAAACAGAACAAGACTAGTCCCTCTTTAACATGATAACCCTTGAAAAATATGTGATCACATTTTCTTCTTGAGGGTAAACATTTCTAGCTCTTTTCACTGATGTTTTGAATAGCACTGGACCCTTGCCATTATAGATGCATTACCCTGGAGAGGTGATGACCCATCCATTGCCTGAATTCTTCCAGATGACAAAAAAATTTTTTTTTTTAATTTTTCCGTTATACAGTATTGTCCCTGTGGACTCAAAACTAAACACAATACTTTAGTAACTAGATTAGAGTCTAGTGCAAAGTACAGTAGGCATCACAGAAGCATAGAATATTAGAATTCTAGGGACCCTAAAAATTACATTTAGAGACTATCATGTCCAATCAGAGAAGTTAAGTGGCTTTTCTAGTGTCACACAGGTAGTTAGTGACAGAGCCTGGACTAGAACCCACATCACCTGCCTGCCCTTTGTTCTTTCTATTGCATCTCCCCTTAATATGCATCTCCCAATTAATATTTCAATAATTCAGTGGAGCTATAATCTCATTGACATTGCTATTCCACCAAAGGCACAGTTCACCATCCATCCACACATGCCTTCTCATTACGAACAATTCTTTTTCATGTTCTTCTATAGATCCCCAGATATAAGGTGCTAGAGATCTTTTTCTTTTGTGATTGTTGGATAATTTTTCAGTCATGTCCGATTTTTCATAACCCCATTTGGGGTTTTCTTGGGAAGGATATTTGGGTGGTTTGCCATTTCCTTCTCCAGCTCTTTTTACAGATGAGGAAATTCAGGCAAACAGGGTGAGGGGACTCGCCCAGGGTCACACACAGCTAGTAAGTATCTGAGGATATATTTGAACTCCCAAAGATGAGTCTTTCTGACTCCAGCCTGCACTCTACCACTGTGCCACCTAGCTGCCAATATTTTTCTAGGACTCCATAAATTTAGAATTTGGGTTTACACTCAGTCTTGTCATCCTGTTATCCCTAATTACTAATGTATGACTCAGCCACCTCTTCCGATCACATATTTCCTGGATGGTATCCCTTATTTCACTTCTTATGCATAGATTATCATTGAAAATATGCTATGGCCTCCTGGTACCTGCCATGGGCCTCCCTATTGACCTTCCAAACAACTGCAACTTTCATTCTAAGGAGATTATGTTCTACCAAAATTGTACTAGAGAGCATACCTGAAGAAAATTTGCATTAAAAATGGATATTTGTGCCAGGAAGCAGCTCAGAATTGTTGAAAGCAGTGGTGTAAAGTTCAAATAAAAATGAGACCACTACACCATAGATAAAGATCCCTCCAAGATGCACATATTGGCTTAGAAAACCACATATTAACATTATCTATGGTCTACTATACTTTTTTCCCTCTTGTTAAATATTTCCCAATTACATTTTAATGTGGCTCTGGCCCTCAAAAGACTGGTTTAAAACATCACACAATTTTCCAACTCTAATCCAGCCTGCTCTTTTCTGCCCATTCAGTTCTGCATCCAAGTACCTGTACAGATCAAATCATCAAACCATGAACTATATACTCTATACCATAGTTAATAGAGCCCAAAATTACATTTGGGTTTTGTTTTTTCTTTTTCTTTTTCTTTATTTGGCAGCTATTGTACATTGCTCACTTATATGGAGCTCTCCTTTAAATAAAACCAGTAGGTTCCTTTCATATGGATTCTTGCTAAATTAGGATTCCCATACTATACTTTTGTCGTTGATTTTTTGGCCCAAAGTGCAGGCCTTTATATTCATCTGCACTATATTTTATCTTGTTAGTCTCAGCCTATCATTCCAGACTGTCAAGACTCTTGAATCTTGATTATATTGGCTATCACATTAGCTATCCTTTCTGTAAATTTTTAAAATTTTTTTTGGTAAATTTTATAAATATGTTTTCTCTTTATCTAAGTCATTCATTTCCAAAAAGTTGAATAGAACTGGGGCCATTTCAGAGCCTATCAGCATTGTTAATGGTGGATAGAGCACCCGCCCTGGAGTTGGGAGGACCTGAGTTCAAACTTGGTTTCAGACCAGACACTGATACTTACTAACTGGGCAAGTCACTTAACCCCAACTGCCTCACCAACAACAACAAAAAAAAAGACATATCCCCCTAATCAACCATTAATTGATATTCCTAAGTCCACATACTTTGGTCAAATTTGTTCAGTCAGCTACAAATTCACCTAAGTGTACTATTATCAAGTCTATGTTTCTCCATCCTGTCCATGAGTATATCAGTAGAGATATAGGAAATTAAAGTTAAATTTAAAATAAAATTAAAATAGAAAATAGAAACTAAAATAAAATTCTTTATGTCTGTGGCATTCCCTGGATCTAGTAATCTTCTTTTTTTTTAATTTTGAGTTTTCAACGTTCACTTCCATAAGTTTTGGAGTTTTAAATTTTTCTACCCCTCCCTCCCCACGACAGCATGCAATCTGATATAGGCTCTACATATACATTCCTATTAAACATATTTTCACATTAGTCATGTTATAAGGAAGAATTAGAACCGATAGGAGGAACTGCAAGAAAGAAGAAACAAAACAAAACAGAAGAAAAAAAAAGAGCAAATAGTATGCTTCGATCTGCATTCAAACTCCATAGTTCTTTCTCTGGATGTGGATAGCATTTTCCATCATGAGACTTTTGGAGATGTCTTAGAGCCTTGCATTGCTGAGAAGGGCTAAACCTATCAAAGTCAGTCATCCCACGATGTGGCTGCTACTGTGTACAACGTTCTCCTGGTTCTGCTTACTTCAGTCACCATCAGTCCATACAAGTCGTTCCAGAAGTCAGCCTGCTCATCATTTCTTCTAGCACAATAGTATTCCATTACATTCATATACTACAACTTGTTCAGCCATTCCCCAATTGATGGGCATCCCCTCAATTTCCAATTCTTTGCTACCACAGAAAGAGCTGCTATAAATATTTTTGTACATGTCAGTCCTTTTCCCATTTTTATGATCTCTTTGGGATACAGCCCTAGAAGTGTTGGGTCAAAGGGTATGCACATTTTTATAGCCCTTTGGGCATAGTTCCAAATTGCTCTCCAAAATGGTTGGTGGATCTAGTAATCTTGACAGAAAATACGGTTAGTTTTCTATTACTTTATCTTGAGGAACCTATGCTGGTCCTAAGCGATCACCCTTTCTTTTTCTTTTGTCCATCTGTATTTTCATCCCAATATGAAGATTTTCGACTACTTAGGAGATGAAGTGTAAGAAAAAAGAAAGCATAATTATTCAAAATGGATTGGAAGATGTTAATGGAGAGTAGAGAGAAGGCAGAATTGGTTAACACTTATTTTGCCTCTATTTTCTCTGACAAGAACAAACTTTGAACTGAGAAGGACCTAAAATGGTCATTAAGAAGCTGATATTCAAGATTAGCAGGGAGATAATAAGACAGTATCTAGCTGCCCTTGATGACTTCAGGTCACCAGACCTAGATGAATTGCATCCTAGGACACTGAAAGAATCAGTAGATATGATTGCTGGATCATTGTTAGTGATCTTTGAAAGATCTTGGAAACAGGAAAAATACTACAGAACTGGAATAAAGCAAATGACCCAGTTTTCAAATGAGGGAGGAAAATGGAGCCTGCAAACTATTGGTTTGTGAGCTTGGAATCTGGAGATTTCAAAGCACTTTCATTTAAGTAGAAAGTGACACCATCTACTATAAGTCTGGGCTTGGGGGTATGGATGAGGATTAGTAGAAAAAATAGTTCTGGAGAATGAGATAGAGATCTGATCAGGATTTAAAGATCATTTTTCTTGGCAGATTAAAAAATAGAAGCAAATTAAATGTTGTGTAACTCTGCCTTCTCTCCACCCTCCATTATCATCTTCCAACCCTTCTTGAACCTTTTCTTTAATCCTCTTCTTTCTCATAATACATTTCCTAAGCAACTGAAAAGATTTCATCCTCTAAAAACTAACAGTACATTAACAGATACTACTTAACAATCCTTGTTCTCTATCCTGATCAAATCCTATCTTATTCCCCAACAGAGATTGTTCCAAACCTTTTCTTCTTTCCTTTAATAGCCAACCGCATCACAGAACCCACATTTACAACAGATGACTTTGCCTCCAACTTCTTTGAAAAGATTGAGGTTTTCCAAAATCAATTCCCTCACCTTCCCAACTTAATTCCTCAAAATTTATCAGTATCCTCCTTCACTTTCTCCCTCTTTCCCTCTGGCCACAGAGAAGAAGGTATCTCATACAAAGTTCAAACTCCTTTGTGTGGCATTCTTAGTCCTTCACACTCTGTTTCCACCCACCATTCCAGCCTTATGTCATATTTCTTCCTTCCATAATCTCTAGGCTTCAGACAAACTGGTCTGCCCCAAAATACAACTTGCACTACCCCAGCTACACTCCTTTGCTATTATTCTCCAAGAATACTGAAAGAAGTAGGTAGGAGTCGTGGTACATTAAATATACAGCAGCAAATTAAGGCTGCATGGAATGTTAACCACAATGAAAATAAGTGCTTCTGTGATTAAATTACAATGCAAGAAATGTATACCAATCTTGAGACTCTAAGATAAATCATTCACTATTTATTTGCAGACAACATAGCTTTTAAAACAATTTTGTATTGGATGAATATATATAATTATTGGACAGTTAAGCCATAGTAATTTTTTTTTGTTTTTAATAGTAAATAACCCATTTTGTTAATGTCTTAATAGGGAAAAAATTCCTATATTGTGAGCCACATAAGAGAATTAAGGAAGTTCTCGAAGAAGAACTTTTTATTCAGAGAGATGAATGCCACATCAAAAATCCATCTACAGGTAAAATCTATGCCTAATAATTAGCATGTATTTAGGAAATGAAAACTAAGCTGACCATTTGAAAATAATGTTTTTGCTGTGTGGGGAAAAGGTTTTTGTTTTGTTTTTTTCTGAGGAATTATAATCTCCCACAATGATTAAGTTTAAATAACCAAATAAAAGCTTTTGTGTTTAAAAATGACCAATGAAGTTTTTGTATTTAAAAAAGTCTGTTAAGTGGTAATACTTTTCCCCTTTCATTTCAAAAACTTTAATGATCACTTAAAGCAGTTTTTCAATTAAATGGAAAATATAACATATTTTGCTATCTTTTAATGAGTGTGACTATGAACATAATAATTAAAGAATTTGAATCATCTAGATTGGTCAGTGACATGATATACATACTCACATATGTTTATTTATATGTTTTAGTTGAATCTGATTGATAAATCTTATTGATGGTTCTTTAGATGACCATCCACAGATGTTATATTGAAACACTGCTATTATTTGAATACCTGCTTTTACTTTGTTCTCCATTGCTAGGTACTCAGTACAGTCTTTGATTTACAGTGTTATTGTTAGCTTTGTTAGGAAAGTTATTTTTCTTTTTCATATGTGATGTTAAAAAGTTTGTTTATGTCTTGGAGTCCAAAATTTTAATAGAAAAACAACTCTCAAATTATCACTTATGTTAGTGGGGCAATATTATTCAATATACAAAATTTCAGTTTGCACACATTTTCCAAGAATTTATCTATCAATGAAGGCATTCCTATGCTGTATACTTAGTTATTAACACCCACTAGAGGTCGCACAAAATGTGTTTTCAAAGCAATTGCTTTGTTTACTTTATTTAGTTAGGTTTACTGAGACAGGTTAGGGAAAGCACAAACCCTTTCTCCACTGGTTTATGGGGGCCAGAATATAGGGAGAAATTGGAGTGAAAATGCAAGACAAGGAGCCATAACAAGGCAAAGAAGGCCAGACAAGGGACAGGTTTAGGACTAAAATGGGCCATGGCAGGAATGAACTATGAAAGCTAATAGCAATCACATTGGAGCTAAGTTGTTGTTGCTGCTGCTGCGGCTGCAGCTGCTGTTGTTGTTCAGTTGTGTCTGACTCACTGTGACCCCATTTGGGGTTTTCTTGGCGGAGATACTTGAGTGGTTTGTCATTTCCTTCTGCAGCTCATTTTACAGATGAGGAAACTAAGGCAGGCAGGGTAAGGTGACTTGCCCAGGGTCACACAACTGGTTAAGTGTCTGAGGCCAAATCTGAATCCAAGAAGATGAGTCTTCCTGACTCCAGACCCGGCACTCTTATCCACTGTGCCCTTAGCTGCCCCACTTCAAAAGGAGCACCAGGTACTTGTATCTTTTCCATTAGTTGAATGGTGATCCAGTATATCAAGGATTTTGTAAATTCTCTAGGTAAATGTTAGTTATGTGAAAAAGCAGAGGTTTATATCTGCCTCCAGTACAATCCAAGTTAATTTCAAAAATATTTGTTAAGTGTGTAATATCTGCAGTTTGTATTTTGAATACAGAGACAAAATGAAAAACAGGAATCCTCCAAAACAATACAACATTTAAATAACTGAGTTATACACAACATCATGAAAAGGAAACTTTAGAGGTCATCCAGTTCAACCATCTTCATTATACACATGAAGAAATGGAAAGCCAGTGACTCTTAAGGTCCCATAGATAGTGAAAAGGTAGCAATGGAAATGCAAGCCATTTGCTTCCACATCTAGAGCTGTTTCCACTGCCCCCCACAACATCTAAGGGGTTTACAAAGTGATGCCCTTCCAAGCCTGGAGGAAGGCTGGGGAAAGGCACCAACATCTGACACGTCAAGCTGAATTTGAGGAACAGCAAGGTGGCTAGTTAGTACTAGGCATAGAGTACCTGAAGGGGACTAACATGAAATAAGCCTAAAAGATAGGCTTGAGTCAAGCTAAGAAGCTTATATTTTATTCTAGAGGAAATGAGGAGCCCCAAAGGTTCTTGGGAAGGGAATGACATAGTCAAATGTATTTTTTGGTTATTTTGGTGATTGTGTGGTAGATGAACTGCAGGGGGGAAAAGTCTAGAAGCTAGGAGTCCAATTTGAAGGCTATTGTAATAGTCCATGCAAGAGGTGATGAGGGTCTGAATTTGGGTGGTAGCCATGCAAATAAAAAGGGGATAGATGCCAGATAAATTGTGAAGGAATAATCTACCAGATTTAACAATTGATTGGATTGGAGATCAGGGATAAGGAAGAGTTGAAGATGACTCCAGGTTATAAACCTCTGTGACTGGAAGGACTGTGGTACTCTCCAAAGAGATAGGCATTTCTGGAGGAAGAAGGGGTAATGAGTGAGAAAGATAATGAGTTCCATTTTGGCCATGTAAAGTTTGAGATGACTGGGAGGATTTCCAGCTGAGCATATCCAACCAGCAGCTAGTGATGTGGGACTAGAGATGGGAATTAGAGATTTAGATTGTCAAGTCATTTTGCATAGACTTGATAACTGAACCCATAGGAGCTGATGAAATCAGAAACAGAGAGGGCACAGAGGGGGAAGAGAAGAAGGCCTAGGGCAGAGCTTCTGGGGAGATATGCCACTAGAAGGACAAACATGGATGATAGTCCAGCAAAAGGGCAGTGGGGAGGAGGATTAAAGAAAGCTAGAAAAAGTAAGATTTGGAAGAGCAGCTGTGGGGAGTGTAGTGGAGAATTAATTTGGAAGAATAAAGGGATTATTGTGCTGTAGCGAAGACCCAATTGATGTAAGATAATGTAAATTTGTAGTGGGTCAGTTAGCTAGTTTGAATACTGGAAAAGAGAAGGCAAAGGTAATGGAGATAAGGCTGAATTGCAATTTGACAAGATGTGAATGGAGATAAGGCAAGGGGGCAAGGCTGTGCTATGCATCCATTCATAATAAAGAAAAAACATTGATTTGTAATGGTAAGTTTCATCATCCTGAAAAAGAAATGCAATCTTATGATCAGATAAAAGAAATGAAAATTTGAACCAGAAAAATATGTGGGATTCCAAGAATAAGGAAGAATTCAGTAGATTTCAGTATTCCTAATAACTTCCTGAAGTTCTTCCTTCCTGAACATTTTGTCTCAATGGCATAGAGATAATATTAGACTTTCACTTTGGAATCGAAAGATTCTTCACTACTGAGATGTTGTCTAAGTTTCTAAATTTCTATATTCAAATTTAGGGTTATAGTTATTCACTTTTCTAAATCTCTCTCTTTTTTTTTTTTTTTTTTTTGGTCCTAATGTATTATTTCATGTGGGGGATTTCCTTTGTGGAAATTCCCTATCAGAGCAGATTAGCAACTCTTCTATAACTTAAGAATCTTATGCTTTCAAAATCTTAAGAGTATTTAAGCTTTTTCCCCAGCTAAGTTCTGCAAAGTTAACTGTTATGAAACTAGTGAATGCTTTGAAAAAACAAGGCTTAAAAATTCTCATTTTCCATAGTTTTAGACTGGTTTTTCTCTTGTTCTGTGTTCAAGTCTTCCTTCATTGCCTTATTTTGGAATGGAGGTGAGTCTGGGTTCTCAAAGGCTATGCCAGTGAACCACAAGGTCTGGCAGATTCTGCCAAGCTGAAAAGGTCTTACATATGGGCCCATGATAGTCTTTATGTTTATCGCTCAAAGTCTAGTCTAACTGAGCTTGAAGAGGTTCATCACCAGGTAGCGTACAGGGTGGTAAAGTGTTTGGCCATAACACCTCTCAAAGCTCAACTATCAAGTCACTGAGCAATTGCAATATGTATCAGTGAAGAGAATACCCAAATGATAAAGTATTTCTCTTGTTCATAACACATCTGGGACCTTGGTACCTTTTGCAATGAATTTGAAAAGTTTTTACGAAATCAGTGAACTTTTAAAAGTCTCCCATTTGACAAGAGAAACCATTGGTAGAAGGTCTGGTATAACAGAAAACCATTCCACTTCCCCTGGCAAGCAAGGGGTTACTCAGACCTGGCAGTTTGAAGAGTGGTCAGAGTTAGTATTTAGGTTGCAAAGATTAAGGCATCAGAACCCTGCCTCTGTAGAAGCTTGGGTTGTCGTGCCTTCTCTAAATCTGGCTCACACGAATAATGTTAATCTTCAGCCTATCCTATGACCTCAGTATACCAGCCTAGAGCCTTGCATCCCAGTTCTCCCAGGAGAAGAGCCATGTAACATTCTCTTCGTTGTGATCAAAGCAGTATAAGGACTTTGCTTAAAAGGGGGAAAATAATCTCCTAGACAAGAATTTTAACTTCACATTTCTGCCCCAAATTAGAAGGCCTTAGAGAAAAGGAGGTACAGGAACCAGCACTTCTGCCAGGGCGTTCAAATACAAAATCTTCTGTCTGGCATTCAAGGTCCTTCATAACCTAAGTTCCCCTCTTCCACCCACTACCTTTCCAGTCTACTTACACTTTACCTTTCCCCCACTCCTACCTCATACTCTGCCATCCCATGACACTGACACACACCCCCACCCCCCCCCCCCCCCCGTTGCTCCTCCACAAATAAAATACTTTTATCACCTGACTCCAGGCATTTTCACTGACTGTCCCCCATGCCTGGAATTCTCTCCCTCCTCATTTCTGCCACTAGGCTTCCCTGTCTTCCTTCAAACTCCAGCTAAAATCTCACCTTCTACAGAAAGCCTTTCCTAATCCCTCTTACTTCCAGTGCCTTCCCTCTGTAGAGTATTTCCTTTTTATCCAATATATCCATATTTTTGTATTTTTTTTTTTGCAGTTGTCTCTCCCATTAGACTGTAAGCTCCTCGAGGGCAAGATCTGTCTTTTGCCTTTGTAGCTTCAGTGCTTAGCACAGTATATGGCATGTAGTAGGTATTTAACAAATGTTCTGATTATCAAGTGACTGACTTCAGTGTACAAAGGGATAGAGGAAATAATTGGAATGACCATAAGAACAAGTCATTCCTTCAAGCAAGAGACAAGAAGGAAAACCCTTAGGGACTACTGAACATTACAGCACTG